TCAAATGCTATCTATCGTCCTTCATAACCTACCTTCAACAAATGTGCTCTTTAGTATGGAAAAAAAAATATTACCAGATGATTGGAGCAAAGCAATTCTGCTCCCAATTCTCAAGAAAGATGATAGGATATATTGCGACAATTATCGAGGAATCAGCCTACTAAACGTCTCAGCAATTTTTGCTTCCCTGCTACTCAACAGACTTATGGAAATATGGGTCAACAGGATGCGCCCTAATCAAGCTGGTTTCAGACCAGGGCGCGGTTGTGCTGACCAGATATTCACGTTAAGAAGGGTGTTGGAACATCGTTTCAAATATTTGAAACCCACTGTCATGTGTTCCGACTTTGCGGCTTCCTTTGATTCAGTTGATAGAGGCGCTTTGGAGCATGTTGGAGCGTGATGGTGTTCCAGAGAAAATCATTCGACTCATAAAGGCATTTTATGAGTGCACATCGGCGCAGGTCTGTGTATATGGGAAATTGACACACTTCTTCGAAATAAGAACTGGTATCCGGCAGGGCTGCGTCCTTTCCCCCACAATATTCAATATGCGATAGACTGGATAATGGACACTGCTTATCGGCATTCAAGAGGTCCGAATTAGTCCAGAGCATCGTATCACAGATCTTGAATACGCTGATGATATAGTCTTTTTTGCTGACAGTTATAACGAAATGCAAGTAATAACGTGTCAGAAATTGCAGCAAGAATCATACTCAGGATCAATATAAATAAAACGAAAGTCTTTTCGTCTTATGTGCAAGAAACTGATAAAATGCCTCTTTTTATAAATTCATTGCCGGTTGAGGAAGTGCCTGATTTCAAATACATTGGATCCACTCTAATACCAAATGGCCAGGCAAAAAATGATATTATAAATCGGATCACGGAAAGCAAAGCTAGAAATGCGTTCTTCCGGTTGACGAAACCTTTATGGAATCGTCGTGAAATTACCATAAAAACGAAAGTCTGCATTTTTATAGCTGTGGTTCGTTCGATCTTGCTATATGGTTCTGAGACATGGCTAATGAGAGTGGAGTATATTAAGAAGTTATCCTACTTTACCACTCTTGTCTAAGGACCCGTTATATATTACGGATCCATCGAGCGGATAAAATATCACATGATCGCATCTATCTTCGTTCAAATACCACTTGTGTAAATAATATTATCAGAGCGTCGACTTCGGTGGTTAGGGCACGTTCTCCGTTGTCCACCACAAGAGTTGTTGCAAATTTCATTACTTGCTAAACTTATCTGTGATGATTGGCGTCAAAAACGACGTGGACCAATGAAGACCTGGACTGATACGGTCAGGAAAGAATTTGAACGTATAGGACCAGCAATATATGGACTTAGACGATGGAAAAAGGAATGGCTTCCATTACTGTCGACGATGGCATCAGACCGCGCCGCTTGGAAGCGTCTTACCCTTGTAGCCGTTGGAGCCAGCCTAATCAGTAGTGGTGAGAGCTTTTAGAAGAAAAAGAAGCCTTAATTCAACGAATTCTGGATTGCCTTATGCATTTTTAATTTATGACCAAATCCTGATAATTTGGCTGATTCACAGAAGTAACGAACCACTAAGCCATGCATATATATTACGTCTAACTTTAATATATATGTTTCCGTTCAAAATTCTATTTAAACATACTTGGCAATTTTACCATTAATAACCCAGCTGATTAATTCCATTTCCTTATCGTCAATCTCAACTTCAAGTTCAATTAGAGACTTCAGCGTTTCCATTGCTTCTTCGTAGTTTTCTCTATCGCTTGATTTTTTTGCATTTTCATACAGTTCAATGCGTTTTGCATCCATAGATCCTGATATAAATTTAAATTAATTTTCTGCCTGATTTTTCGGTCTAAATTTGACCATTTATTTTCTATTGAACTTTCAGAGTTTTGAATCAATGTATATTAAATATTATTATTATTAAATAATTGATATATTATTATTAAATATATATATAATTGAATATATATTATTGTATATTATTAAATAATTGATAATTTAACTTTTTGACGCAACTATTTGTCAAAAAATTAATTGGTCAAATTTTTTGCGCATTTAACATGAACTAAAAAATAAAAAAATTATAAGTATGGATCTTTCCAATCATTAAATTGCTAATAAAATTTGCTTATTAAATTTCGTTAATTTCAGATGAACAAATAAATTATCTATCGCTTGAACATCATGAAAACTAAAGGATTTTCAACACTGCATATAGCGTTTATTAAGCACTTAAGAAAAATGCGATATTTATAGCAGTTTGATTAATTATAATTAGTACTCAAAACCACGTTAGAAAAAGGAATGGCTTTTAATACTTTGGCATCATACCACGCTGCTTGGAAACCCTCGTAGCCAGTGGAGCCAGCTTAACCATTAATGATGCGGCCTGCTAGAAGAAGAAGTCTCAAAATCATTAATAAATCTTCCCTCCCTTTTGAATCAATAATAGTTGTTGAATAATAGTTTTTTTTTTCAACACATTTTGGACTGCTAAGAATATTTTTCGAAATCAAAGCAATAATTGAAAAAACGTTCGTGCTATTGAATTTATGCAAAAAAATTTATGCAAAAATAATGATAATGTATGGCTTAGTGGGTTATTGCTCAGTTAGGAGCGCCGATACTAAGGTTCTCTTCCCCGCGAGAGTAAACCTGTCCAAAAATCCGGGTGATGCTGGTGAGTTACCTGTATTTCTTTCGCCAAGGGACTCTCTGGCATATTGCCCAATGCGACAAACCAGTAGAGCGAGTTTAACCAGTAATGGTGAGGGCTCAAAAAAATAATAATGATGCATAATAAACATGTGGAGAGATTGTTCGGAAATATCAAATCGATGAATTGTTTCTTATGAGTGAGTGATTTAGTATAAGTAAATTGATGATTTTAACAATCGCTTCATTCTTGCTGGTGCGAACACGTGTTCTTTATTTATTTCTTATCTCCAGCTGATAATAAGAAGAGATATATTTTGTTGTTCAGATATAAAAGAGAAAAAAAAAATTTTTGAAAATGTTTATAACAATCGACTGTTAAACAGTTAATATACGAAATCTATGATTATAAAAATAATAATCATAATAATCTTAATGAGTTGTTGCATTTGGCTCAAGCATTTAGATAAATGGCTGATGGAGATTACTGCCCACTTCTACTGGCTATTAGGATAAGATTTACAGAATTGCATGAAGTAAGAAGTAAAGCACGTTTTCAACATTTTAAGAATTTCATTTTTAATTGCAAATGTACTACATATACTACTTTGATAACGTACCTTTGTTGATAATCACCATAGCAACCACCGTTAGAAAGGTAAAGGAAACTGCTTCAGTTGCAATAAATGAAGAAAAATAGGACAAAACAACTCTTAGCGAACTCTTCTATTCTAAAAAAGATTATGCAAAAGGGTTTTTATTATCGAATTTACTTTAGCCTAAAAGCTATTTATTTATCCCGAATTATTTATCGAATTTTTTATTTTAAAAAATATTTTTTAAAAAAACTCTACTATTTATTTAAATTTTAAATTTTTTCTTAATAACTTGAATCTTATAAATTTTTCAGTATTGATTTAAATTTTTTATATTAAATATTTCAATATTAACTATTTTAAAAACTTTTTTTTGTTGATTTAAATTCAATTAATTCAAATTTCGCTTGTATCGCTTTTTTTATAGATAGCAACAGTCATTTTTTTTGAATAATCATTTATATATTGCGTTATTAATCTAAAAATTTGATGGTTTTATCAATCGCTTTATTAAAGTTCTTCCTGTAAAGCCTCATTAAATAACCCTTTCTATATTTAATATCCAGTTATTTCTCGTCTTCTAGTCCCAAACCCACGCATTTCGAAATTTGGAAATTTTCTTGTTCCCTTTTGCTTTGCCTCATTTAGCAGCGTTACATAAAATCCCAGTTTACTAAATTAATGCTGCTATACTACGTAGTACTCAATATCTCACAATCTTCTTAATTTTCGTCAAGCCCAGCGAAGTGAAGACGGTGACATAACCATAAATTCCCTCATATTAATTTCATGAAATATCCTACCATAGTTAAACTCTTCGACAGGAGTAAAGCTATCATATGAAAAATCCGGCTGCTGCGGACCAACTTGTAGCTCTACGCCTACTCTATGGTGAAAGGGTCAGATGTTCTTGATTATTGCAATAATAAGTTTATTTGCCTGGTTTTATTTTTTTCAAATTTTTCATTCTTTCATTTTCGAATGATCTAACACCTTTTTAGGACCTTTCAATAGACATTAGTCACAAGAAAAGTAAATTTTAATAATTCAAGCATATTTTTCTATAGAGAGAAGATGTCGAGGAAGCTTATTAAAGTGATATTAAAACTGGTTATAATAAACAAAATTTTTTCGTATTTCGCATTTTGATTTTAATGTTTTCATATATTTACATAGTTGTAAAAAAAAGCAAAGAATGTCATTCAAAATAAACCGTTGAACAAAGAAGTATATCATCTTAAACTAGAGACAACATTTTCAAAATATCTGATTATATCTGATTTCAAAAAATTTGATAAGAAAAAGAGGAAAGGAAAGGTGACAAAAGCACATAAGCGAAAATTTTGTTTTGATTAATGTATTATTTTCTTCTTTCTCTGATAGTTGAAAAAAGGAAATAAATAAACTATAAAATACCATGAAATACTATTAATGGAAAAAAATTGCTGGTTTTTTTAGACATCTTTATTATTTAATTATTCGGTGAAGCAAAACCCGATTCTTATTCTTTGACAGGAGATCGGCTGGAAACCTGTCATTAAAAGTGGAATTTAAGAGCGCTGAAGATCTATCTGCACTTCTATTCCCAGGTCGCTCTCTTGCAAAATTATCTCATTCTAATAATCAGTATAGCCAAATAAATTTTATAAATATTCATTTTTCTATTAAAGTTTGAATAATCGACATGTAAAATATAATGCCGGAGGCAAAATATGCAAATTTCGTTTATCAAAATAGACTTATTTCGATATTTAATAGAAATATTTTTTCCCACTTAATCCGATTCGGCAAAATTCGAGAATGAAATCGATAAATTCGCTGAATATATATTGCTTTTGTTAATAATTCGTCGCAAATCCAGTTATCATCCTTATTTCCCATGATGAACATTTTTATTGAATTCACATGCATTATCATCATCAGGTTATTTAATAAGCCTCTAAAAATTATTTTTTTCACCAGAATCTACTGCTATTATTTTCACCAGAATCTACTGCTATTATTTTTTATTTTCTTTTTCTTAAATTTGGAAAATCAAAGATTTTTAAAAAAAATTTAATTTCATTCTATCTCTAGATGAAAAAGAGAAGAAGAATTTGGTTCATAGTGAAATAATTAAGCAAAAAAAGTTTACTTGGCGATGTTTGTCGAATCAGCATAACACTGAAGAATGCGATTATTTAAAGCGAGAATGTAGCCTCGAGGTTGGCCAAATTCTGTGGCAACAACACCCTTTATCTGCAAAAATTATGAATATTTATCCCATCAACCAAAATGCTTAAAAGTCGAAAAAAAATATTAATCCTTCTTTATATCTTTCATAAACCAAATATTTAAGAAAACATCGTTAGGAAAAGTGAATTAAAAGTCTTTCATACTACTTTCCAATTAAGATGGCAAAAGTCTAATAAAATGCCTCTAGATTTTAAAGAGAATTTTTTACTTCATTAATTTTTAAAAGATTTTCAATATGGTTCTCTCGACTGAAGAGCGTTATTGTCGAATCGTAGTCGTACACCCAAATCTGATTACTTGGCTTAACCTCTTCATAATTTATCTTCGAGTAATCATTTTTTGGACCATTAGTGATTTGCATGAAGACTGATCTGAAAAAATTTTCTTGTAGTGAGTTTTGCAGAAATCACAATAAACTGAATATTTAAAAATAGCAAAATTTATATTTTTAAATTTAATGGTTCTTTTAGGATTTTTAGTGGAACAGCTATAATTAAAAACCTTTCTTCCTGTGATGAAATAATATACAAATAAATTTTCGCTGGCCAAAATTAATTTTAAAGTAAGTGTACCTTTCAATTTCGATTTCATAATATTTATATTTGTCTGCCACAATCATGCCAATTTTATCACGCCAAATTTTCATTATATTTTGATTACTATAACTGAAGATTTTTAATGATTTATAGTTCTACATTTGAAATATGCTACACCTCCCTATATTGAAATCGAAAATTCGAAGAAAAATCGAAGAAATGAAGCATTAAAAATGTGAGAAGTTCGACATTTTCTAATTTAGCTTAAATCCTACAAAATTGAATGATGAGCGTAATAATAACAAATATTTGTAGAAACGCATAGCACGCTTAAAAGGGACAAAAGGTAAAAGTTCTGCAAAGTATTTTTAAAGATATTTTTAAAACTGCATACAAGTTTTCCGACTCTTCTATATCGACTGTTATATTTTTAATTAGATCCATATTCATAGTGCTTAAGGAAAATTCAACAAGTTGGTCATAAATATGTGTTAAAACATTTTGATGTTCTCGATCCTCAAATACCGCATAATAAGGTGAAAGCCCTGAATAGTTTGCGTCATTGTCGTATACTTCTTTTATCTAAAAAAATTTTCAATTTTAACTTGTCTTATCTTTTTTCATTATCAAATGACTGCCAAATATACAAGGTAAGTGATTATTCTCTATTCTCTATTCCTTGATAACTAGCTCCGGTTAATTGTTACAAATTTTTTGCTAACGAGTCAGTTGGCAAGTAAAAATCGGTTGTAATACTACTTGGACTTTTTAATGGTACAAGTTACTTCCGTGGATGATAGAGCCCGAGCACAAAACTTATTATCCTCTCAGAGACTGCGATTAATGAGAAATATTTATTATCTGTTTAAACAATGAAATCGCTTTTTTAATTTACTAATTTTTTTAATTAATTTTTTGATGATGATTGGCGACAATAATTGCCGAATATTATCACTATGATATTGAAAATGTCATGATTTAAAATTACTGCTTCTGATCATGGTAACTACCAATGATCTTCTGTGAAAGGAAACTCCAGAATGCGAATGAATTAATTTGAATCTCACTTTGAAACATAAATGTCGATCTTCCAAGCCATTTTCTAAATTTGTGTACGATTCGATCGAAACGGACCTTGACAAATAAGTTTCTTCGCACTTTTTAATCATGAGATAACCCTGAAAAATTTAATTTTGGAAATCTCTACTGTGCAATTGGAAGTATCTTTATAAGAGAACAAACCACTATTGTGCATGAACCTTTTATACAATAAATTTTGGAAGTTAAAATTTGAAATTCTAATGGTAATAATACGTTATATTTCTTTCAACTAATACAATTTCAAATAAATATTTATTGACTGGCAAAGCCACAAAGTAAAGCAATAAAAAATTTTATATTATATTATTAATGTTTGCAAATCAGAAAAAATATTAAAAAAAAGAGTGCCTTGTATTCTGCCTTCAATTTTTGTTCCCAAATACGTATGCTATACTATTTTTCGATTGCAGTAAAGACGTGAAACATGGAATATTTATTACTTTTAGTGTTATTCCCCGCAGAAATAAACCAAAAATCTAGGTGCTAATGCTCACCTGTATTTCTATTGCCGAGGGATCTCTGGCATATTTATTCAGTGTGATAAGCCAGCGGAGGAAGTTAACTAGTAACGGTGAAGACTCTCAAGACTGTACGCATCATACAATGAGAAAATTTGAATTTCTTGCATGAAACAAGACAAACAAGGTAGAAGACAAATTTCATTTTTCTTCCAACAGCATGCATTATTTCCAGTTTGGCTGGCTCCACTGGTTATAACGATAAGAACCTTCTTCCCTAAACCTTCTAGAATGTTAGCATACTTGAAATTGAAGCCACTTTTCTTATTGCCTAGGTTTATGACCAATCGAATTGCTTGACCAATCGAAATGTCTTCAATACAAGTGGTTGGGCTTCTTCGCTCTAAAAGTCATTCAACACGTGAGGTACGGGTCAATTCCTGTGGTGTTGAAGAATAGCTAACATATATGATGAACATAAAGATGTAGTATATAAGGAGTATATAAGGAAGACACAAATATGTGAGCATTATCATTATCAGCATAAAATTACATAAAATCAGTAAGCACATGGAATTGTACAGGTGGTCAAAAGCAGATCTTAATATTATTCAAATCTCACTGACCATATTTATCAACCATATAATTGCGCGCACTGCATCTCATAGTCTTTTCATTTTGAAGCTATTTATGCAATTCCTTCACCAAATTGAAAAAAGCATATTTAGCCGCAGCTATCAAAACAAGAAATTTCGTCCTACTGCTTGGTCCAAGAATTTGGTCCAAAAATCAATCCAGAAAAATTTTTGCTGTATAAAAAATTGGTATTTTTTTAACCTTTGATATTTTTGCATAAGTTTTCAAAAATTTGATGCATAATGCGAGATCTCATTTTATCATATTTATCTGGAACAAATTTTCGCTCTAGTTATGAATACACTCTACTATCTATTATAATTTCTCATAGATACCAGCAAAAGGACCATCAACTATTCAATTCTTTTAAAATCTCTTTAATACTGGCGAGCGGTATCTATAATTTATAGCACAGCAGGGCAAAAAGTGGACAAGTGGACCTAAAGTACGCCAGCTCTGCTTTAAAAGGATTTCTAGTACATACACTGGTACTCTGGTCAAATTTTTGTACACTGGTCAGGAAATTTAATCATCTTCTCTGGAACATCATCAAAGGAAAACTGATGAAATATGCAAAGGAATCGAAAAGGAAACTATATCGATAAGTTGCTGAAACTTGAAATAATATTCCAAATATTTCAATAATTTTAGCGTTGAGATTTAATTAACCTGTTGCGTTCTTAAGATCGGGTTTGCTAAGAGCGCATCTCACGTACTTCCCCAACTCTACCCAAAGTAAAATAAAGGAAGTGAAAATTTTCCTAGAGATATCCAATAATTTACCAATAATTGGAATTTTTTTCTGACAGTCTCTCGATATCTAAACCGTTTTTATCGAATTTGTTCATTTTGGAATTCTGGGGATTCTTTTGTAAGTATCGGCTGTTTCAGAGGTGATATTAAAATTCCTGAGGCGCTTCAGCAGGTTATTATTCCTCATTATTTTTTACCTTAGCCATAACATTTTGGAGCATGCTGCAATCTTCTCTGAAACTTGCCTCTAACCTGAATATCCGACTTATGAAGGTTATTAATTTCATTAATGCGATGTGCATTGGAATTAGAACACTTAAAATTCTTTCGACAGTAACGAAAGGTCTAATTTGTAAAAGATACTGAATAATGGATAAAATATGTATGATATAAAAGTAAGTTTTGGCTGGTTTATTCGAAGATAAAAGTTGCTTTTTTGAGATTTATCCCAAAAGATATCCCATTAGTCTATAATTTCTATGATATTAATATCCAGTAATATGACTCACCTGATTATTGTTGCATTTATTTAATGCACCGAGTGCAACCAGTTTATAATTATCGCCAATTTCTTCAACTATTGTTACCACCGCAATATCTTTACTGCTGATAAAAGCCAAATTATTATTGGACGGAAATAAATGCCCATCGAGAATCTTATCGCATTTTGTGTTTTGAATGAAATTTTGAAGATGCGAAGCAGCAAGCATTTCCAAATATAGCGAAAAGATACACTTCTCTAAAATATGAAGAAAACATTTGGAGCACTAACTCGTTTGCCGAACAAAATCTTGGCAAACGAATTATTCTAAGGTGGTACAGAAGATGAGGCAATGAATCGCGTTGCAAAATTCAAATTCCTGCTGAATTTGAATAAAAATATTAGTAATCAACTAAAATCTAAGCCCATGCCCATGAAATTCATACTAAAGAATAAACCGTTTTTATATTTCATTTCAGATTGGAATCAAGAAAACTAATAATTCCACAATTCTGTCCTTTCATCATTGCCATCTCTTTGATACTTTTATAGAAACATAATTCACCCAACTTATTCAAAATAAATATATAAATCAACTAAAATAAAAATGAAGCCCGTCAGCGAATGGATAACAATGAGTGAATCTTTTTTCAGTGAAAAAAAATAGAAATACTGCAAATGTCTCGATGAATACTATAAAGATGATGGAGAAGATAAAATCAGCATGATATAAAACCGAGAGCGATCAACTTTTCGAATAACTATGGTTATATATTTTATCTACAATTGTAATCTATTCTTCGTATCATCACATTAAATCAGTTACTAGCCCGAGCAGTAATAAATCGAAATATTTTCAAATGAATATTTCACACCTCATATTTCAAAATAAAAGGCTTCTAGATGAAACAAAAAAGAATAAAGATTTCATTGTAGCTAAACTGTTATCAAAATGGAAAATTATTGAGCTATTTGAAAATAATTTTGTATTTATATCCTTCACAACGATGATCAACTAATTAAAACCTACATTTATCATACAATTGACCTACATTTCTATCCTGAAATAACAAAAATCATGCTAAAAGTTGGTGAAGCACGCCTAACCAGAAATGGTCAGCTCTAAATATTTGATTCGACCAAATTTAAGTTTTTATTTATAAATTATTTATAAATTTAAGTTATTTTATCAAATAAAGAATAAGAAAAGAATGCTTTTTGATTTAGCTATTTCACTCTTTAGCTTGAATTCAGTAGCGAATTCATATCTAAATAACACGAAATTCGAACGGATGGCTCAAAAAATTGATAATTCGGAAAATTTTTCTATTCTATTCTATTCTAAGAATTAAAAAATCAAAGTTTTAAATAATAATTTAAGGCCAAAGCAAAGTGGTAGAAACCAGCGACAATATCAATTATAGAAACTTTTAACAATCTATTTTACTCTTTTGGTACTCATTATTTTTCGCAAAATGGGCTTTTTGACCCACTTAAAATCCAATCAAGATAACGTGAACATTGTAGAAAATGTTACTGTATATTAAAAGCAAAGACAAAAAAGGCAAAAATTGAGAAAATCATTCTAATATTGCATAAAAATTTGCAAAATTTTTTTTTAAGATTTCTCTTCATTACTGGCTAAACTCATTCCACTGGCTTGTCGCACTGGACAATCCTGCGGGGAATAAAATTTCAGCATAGGCATTCCGAAATGAAAAACCCACTGAGCCATCCTATCCCCAATATTCCCAATATATGCATAAAAATTTGCATATATTCAGGAACGAATAAGCCCAATAAATCTTTTTTTTGAGAGCGTTCATTCTTTGGCCTAACAGGAAGCTAATTGGAATTAGTAATATAAGTCAACATCACGCAGATTGTAGAAGGTGTCGTTGACTACCATATTTTACTTTTACATTTTAGCGACATTACCAACGATGAAGCATGCCACTATTCTCATTTCTCACTGACTATCTTGCCACTGATGAAATAGTAAGAATAAATAGAATCTTCGATTATGGCAAATATTGATAAATGATAGAGTCTTTCAGGCAACAATTCCTACTACCACAAAATTAAAATTATCAAAAAATTCTTTAAATTAGTCGAATTTAATAGGTAAAATAAAAGAAGTATTATTTTTAATTATTATATATTTAAAAAAAAATTTTTTTCCTCATAAAATTAATTAAATTCGACTACTTATTAAATAATTTATTAATTAATCTATTAATTTTAAATAATTAATCCTATAATAAAATAAACCAATGAATTCCTGTACGTCACACAGGCTGTAATTCTGGAAATGCTTGGATTTAGAACCAAGAAGGAATGAATATCATCCTTGAAAAGTGAGGCTGGAGAACAAGATTAGGGTAAATCACAATGCAGAGAAACCAGTCAACTATAGAAGCAATGGAGATCAAGGATGTAACCTATTTAATGAAAAAAATACAATAAATACAAAAAAATACAAGTGCTACATTCCTTCAGAAATCCAACAGAATCAACTGACAACATTCATAGTAGCTGGCCATCAACTATGACGATGCACTAAAGAAGCAGAAACCAAAAAGATATCCAGTTCCTTAGAATCATCTAAGATATGTTCAACTGCAGTATAACACTATTCGAACAGAGCAGATGAGAAAAAGAAGATCCAAACAGCAAAGTAACTGCAGGACCCACAGCAATTTTCCAGACCAGAAACCAACTATCATCACAATCATAATAGTAAGCATCCAACAGCACATAAAAAGTAGGACAACAGCTGGTTCGGACATAATCCTCCGGTTGGCTGAAGAAAATAATAGCTTCCATGAACATCTAACAAAACCGATGAATTGCATTCTTTCGGCAGGCTGTCATCGAGATTGATTAAGGAAGGATAATATTGATTATGAAAGATCCTCGTAAGGGAACAAGATCAACCACCCATCAACAACTTATCTCCCACAACGCACCATCAAGCATAGCCATCAAATTACAAGACCATATGAACCAGTATATAAGCATACTTTAGAGATACATTGGGAAGAACATTAGAGGCTTAGAACAACTACTCCTAGGTAGAAGAATTGCTCAAAACCTTAAGGTGTCGATATATATATCTGATGCCAAGCTAGATTGACTTTGAAAACTTGTGCAACACGCAATGAATGTCTGCCTGGCTCTATATAAAGTCAACAAGATCCTATTATCTTCATCAAGAACTTAATTGGATTATAGAAAACGACAATTGAAATTAACTTAAAGCAGCTTGCAGAAGTGATCATCAAGTGCAATATATATCAAATTGATGCCTTATCTCTCTTACATTGGTCTAAACCACTCAGACAATCATGAGAAGTGGATATAGAAGTTGAGCGGAACTACCATCAGTGATCTTTTCTACATAGGTGACACCAAGTTATATGCAAAAAGGGAACGATACATGGAGTCATTCATATAACTCGCACCCACAGCGAGGATGTCATTTGAACTGGAGAAATGTGGTGATGAAAAATAATTACGATTGATGGAGTGGATCTACCATATATACATATCATCTAAAAGACATCCAACGGTCACATGTAAGCCTATAATGTGCCACAAATTTTAGCAAATCATCCAAAGACTAGGCGGAAAATAGGCATGTACACCAGACGGAAAATAGGCATGTGCGGCTTCGTGACTGTCAAAGCCACTATCTAAATAAAATGAAACTGACGTATTTGAAAAATTTTTCAATAATTTTCTTTTTTGACTAGTCCTGTACGACTTCTTTGTTTCGTGTTTTATCGAGTATTCGTGTTTCTGCTTTGTAATTCATATACTCTGAACAAAAAAAGTTTCATTTTTCTCGGTCATGTGGTATAAAAAAATGAATTGAAAATTTTTAAAATTAATATTAATATTTTCAAATTTTTGAATCAATGTTTAATATTTTTTGAAATATTTTAATATTAATATTAATATTTAGGATAAGGTTTTGCATTGAGGAGTTTGGAAACGTTTGAAAACGTCTTATTTGTTGCTAACGAAGCCAAACTTTTCTATCGTTTTATATTTATTCTTTTTTGAGCAAAGCCAACTATATAAGTAAGCAAACTTTAATTAACAATATTTTTTCAATTTGATTATTAATAAATATTAAATTGGCCAAGTTCGAAATCCAGACCCGAAATTAAAACAACTTCTTATTTATCACCAGAAATGAGTTCCCTTTACAAAAATATGCCTCTAGGTGCAAAGAGTTTGGTAACCATCTATTAGATAAAATACGCAATCAAAGATTGATGGCCTTCAAAGCGATGACTAGCAAAGCAATCGGGGAATTTTACTGATAAACCTATATTTCGGAAAATATTGACCTTTGATAGCCCAAGCAAGGCTTCTTCCTCTTTTCATCACAAAGATTATCCAGGACTATCATTAAAAATCCGCGTGGTTCGGGCACTTCTAACGCTATATGCTTCTCCAGCTAAATTCACAGACAGTTCTACCACAAAGGGAGAGCGTTCACATACTTCAAAACACGAACAACGGTAATGAGGATCACTTTAACTAGTTTAAATTATTATTGAAGTATAGCAGAAAAGAATTTTTTTTTTGTCGTTCATTCATTTAATTCATACAAAAAACAAAAATTTTACACCGATTGTATTTCGTTCCTCGCAACAATCTTTGTCTCTATAAGCTTTGAAACACTGAAAAATTAGGTATATTTCGTTAATACCAGAAAATTTTTTCCTTTATATTTTGTGATATAATAATTGAATAAATCCATGCATTGCAATTAACCATTCGGTTCTGTGACACACATTTGCAGCCGTTTTATTTTGTGATATCGACGCTCAACAACATTCTTTAAAATTGATAGGAGCATTTTGATTTTCGAAATGATCTTAACTCGCTTCACGGAACCTTTAACCTTTCTTATTGCTTGACTCAACATTTGCTAATTCTCGAAATCGAGTTTTTTGCTATTTTAGAAGTTTTATCGCAATCTGAGGTTGATTTTGCTACCAATACCTTTATAAAATGGACTTAAAAATAAATACATAATTTTCCTTTTGCATTTGACAATTTGAAAGAACAATTTTATTAGATTTAAAACTTGCAATTTGCAACAGAAAATATTTACCACATGTAATGAAAAAATAAAGCAAAACAACCTCGAAAGAAGCCCTTTTGAGAGACATTGTCGTCATTTGTGGGCTAATTTTTCTTAAGAAAAGGAAACCTAAAATTCACGCCAAATTTTTTTTTGTTATACTGATATTAATTTTCTTTTCATTAAAAAAAAAAATTATATAACTGGTAAAACGAAAAAGGATGAAATAAAACCAAAACAAGATATTACTTATCCTTTTCTTTAAATCAACAAACAAAACATAATCTTTAAATCCTCAAAGCAATAAACATAGTCAAATAATTTGCATTTTTTCCTATTTTTCCTATTTTATCCCTATTTAGCGATTTTCAAGAAACATAAGGGAATTTAAGAACGCATCCAAGGAAATTTCAATAAAATTTAATTAAATATAAGACTTGAATTTCACCACAAATTCTTTTTAATTTTTCCACATGCATAGAACTCATTACTATAACCATACAAATATAAGTGAAGATAAATTCTCTACTAAAATGTTGATACTGAAATTTTCATCCGCCTTCTACAGTTAGGTGCTTTCATCAAAATTATAGAAAATATAGATAATGGTGAGCATTAGAAAAAAAAAAAATTTAGCAAATGATAAAGGTAGCAAATACTTCGTTAATGAACCATGTTAAGGGGGAAAAAATACTATTATTAATACTATAATAATTCAAATTGATTGAAATTGAAATCACATTGATAATTCAAATTTTAAAACATAAAAATTGAAAGAAAACATGAGAAAAAACAATATTATAAAATATTCTGTACAAATGGATCTTCGCTAATGCAAAATGCTAGGGATCCTGTGGATAAATGACGAAATAAAAAACACTGAACCCATAAATTCGCACATAAAAACCACGTGAAAACCAAATAATAAAAAAGAAAAAAAAGAAATAAATTTTTTCCTCTATGATTCGTCCAAAATGTAGGTGAAAATGAAACTGAAAATGGTAATAAATGGTAATAAAACTTATCATAAGTTTCTTTTTCGAGGTAGTTGCAATCAAAAAGAAATTCAAAAAACCGCTTCCTCTGCCTATAAAATATCATTGAGGAAAAATAGTAAAAAAATATAATTTTATAACCTTAAACATAAAATAAAAATTAATTTTTTTCGCCCACAAATAAAAATATTAAATGAAGCATTAAACAATAATATTACATAACGAAATCACCAGTATTAATAAATCTGACTAACTCGTAAGTCAAGAGTCTACCAGAAACAGACATTTTTCAACCAATGAAACAGTTCTTCCAAATGGTATTTTTTTCCCATATTTCCCAAGAATAATTTTGTTAAAAACCTTTAGTAAAGCCATAAAGTCATAAACCAGATTTACCTTTTTAAAAAAATTCATTTCTCATTTCATACGAAAAATAACCGGAACGGAATCGACGGTAAAACTTTTAGCAAATAGTCTGAATTAAAAAGCAAGATTGCCTGAAAGGTCATTAATTCTAAGCACAAGACCCAATAAGCCAAGTGAAAAATAAATTAACAATTTCGATTTTATAAAAAATATTAAATATTAAATTCAGACGTGAAATGGAAAGAAATATGAATGAAATGACAGATTGACTTGGCTATAAAGCATACATCACCGGATGAACTGAAACTGTTTCGAGTCATACTTCCAAAGGCAAAGGAAAATTTCTTGTTTCACGAAAAAATTTAAAATATAAGAAACACAGCCATAATGACAATAATATTTGTGCAGTGCCTAAGTCTAGAACATTCAGTTTAATAGCACTGTAACATTTACAAAGAATAAAACTGAATATAACTTGTTTAATTTAAGCTTTTCCACAATTTTTTCCAATTTTATACATAAATTCTCCACTAAACAAAAAAACGATTTTCATTTCATATATTAGATCATATCTAACATTAAACTATTATAACCCGCGTTAATTTATGATATATATAAATCAAATAATAAAGAATAGAATAAAACATTTAAAAAGGAAAAAATACCATCGTCTTTGAAATAATCACAAACCAATAATAATTAATTGATCAATTAAGTCATTTGAAGGGCCAAATATGTGCGAAATATCAAACGTCCGCTTTATAAACGATGCAACTCGCTAAAAAACAAATTAACTATTCGTTGATAAAATCCATGATATCATTCCAAGCATAAAAACAGAATGACTCGAATTTCTTTAAAAATTGAAAATTGCATGATTCGCGAAATTGCGAAGGCAAAAAAGTTACTATGGGGTCGTAAGAAAAATGAATTCGAATCACCAATTAGTATGCCTGTCAACAAATTAGTGATCAATCAAAGATGAATGAAGATGAGTTTAACAAGGGAATTTTCATGATTTTAAAATGTGCGTCAATATTGTTCGGTGGCAGGTATCAACCTATGGATAAAAATGGATCCAAACCGGCATTTGCCTTATCAGCAAGTTAATTATCAGTCAGTCAATGAAGAGGAGATGATCCAGATGTCGAGACAGACGGCCCAATAAATATGAAAGCACCAAAAAAAACTGGAAATGGGCGACCAAGAATAGTCTTGCCTTTTTGCTTTTGCCATTTCGCGATAATGATAGATTATCTATAGATTTCTTTCAAAATAACAAGTAACAATTTGCTTCTATTTGGCTGTATACCAACTTATTATACAACTGCGAAACACTGTCAAGAGTGGGAAATGTTTTGAAGCTGCCGACCTTTATGTCTAAGGCACATTTTACATGCTCGAAGAGCATATAAAATCTCACATGATTATATCCATCTTCGTTCAAATGTCGTCTACATTAACAATGTCAAAGTCAAGGATCGTCGACTAGACTGGTTAAATGTGTCCGCCTATTTCAAGAAGTGATGCATATCTCGCTGACTGACCTGTGATGGAAGGCTAAAAGCGAGAAGGATCAATCGACTGATCCAATCGAACTTGATACAGTCAGAGAAAATCCTGAAAGAGCGAACCAACGATATATGAACCTAGATAATGGAAAAAGGAGTGGCTTCTTTTACTCTCCGGTATGGCATCATATCGAGTGGAAACGTTTACCCTTATAGTCAGCTGAGAAGTAATGGTGCGAACTGTCAGAAAAAGATTCTTAGAAGAATATAAGGAAGAAATAATTATTTTGAATTCATAAAAATTTTAACAATTCAATTTTCTTTGAATATGTGTAATAATATAAGATAAATTATAATGTACAATGGTGTTTTATGCTAATACATGATTAATAATAAATATTTTTTTAAAATGTAGTGAAAATGTAAAATGTACTTTATTCTATATTTTTAAATTTGAAAAAAATTGAAATTTTTTTCAAAATTAATCGAAAATTCGCTTTCTTCCATATTTAAAATTTAAAATCATTCAAATTCAATTTTCTATTCAAATTTTTCTCAACAATCAGTATTCTAGATACTCAAGTACAGGAAGAAAAAATGAAACAAGAAAAATCGATGTTTCACGTTGGAATAGGAAGCAATCGAGAAATTAGTGCAATTTTTTAACTATTAACGCTAAAATCATACACATCTCACAAAATATTTTATTAACCAAAAAAACTGTTGAAATCTACACTCTAAAAAGATATAAGAAAATTGATTCTGGCGTGATAAGTTCAAAAAGCGAAGAATTCTTCGGAGACATTTTTTTAGTTGTTCAGTGGTTGTAGGTTTTCTTTTCAATAAACTGTCAATAATATAAAAAAAACTGATCGACTGGTGAGATGTCCGATGAAGAATGTATAAGAGAGTTTCACTACCCAATTCGTTTAGCTGCGATGGTAATGCGAGATGTTATCGTGCAAGAGTATTGAACTTTTCTAATGGCGAATGCTGGACACATAAGATGTAATATTTGATGCATTCCATCGACTTCATCGTTATGACCACTTTGAAAGAATTCATAATGTGATGCCTACTTGCTAAACGTTCTTCAATTTTCCAATTCGACCCTAATGTTCCAAAACTGTTATCTAGTTCTCTTTCAAGTTCCCAAAGAGTTATAAGTGGATTAGATGACCGTTATATCTTCATTCTTTTCAAGGAAAGAATTTTTGAAATATCGTTGTACTTTGCATATTTTGTTAATATTTCTTTGGTCCCAAACTCCATTGATGTCTCGAGCCGTTTATGTTATACCATGGCTGAATTCGAATTCATAGATGAAAATTTGGCGAGATTCTTGTTCTGTCATGTTAACTTCAAAGGCCAAAAGACAGATAAAAATGTAGCATATATTTAAAATAGATTAAATAGAAAGAAAAAGCATGAAATAAGCTTTAGAATGATATATAAAATCATACACTCCTTTTTTAATTCTTTATTAATGAAAAATTATTAAAACAAATGAAATTATAAAACCTATATTAATTTTTATATTCATTCTAATAATATCAAAATTCTCTCCTTTTAAAAAAAATATTCTTTTAAAAAAGCTTTTTCGACTTCAGTTACTTATGTGCTGTACATTTACTAACTCTATAGTGGCTCTACTCATCCTTTTTCTACTTTTATAATTTTAAAAGATTTTAGTTCATCGGCAAAATTCGGTCAAATTCATTTTTAATGATTGGAATGCATGCAATGGATTAAACAAAAATAAAAGAAATAAAACTAACTGTTAAAGTGGCAGTCATCAACAATAAATCAGCATAAAGATTAGCTGCACCTTTGCCAGGAAAATCTTGACTGAATTGTGCGAACAAATAATTAAGAGATTTTAGCCTTTCACCAGTGACCATCGCTTTACCAGGAGAACTTAGTCCATCCGCATCTAGAATATAAATTAATGTACTTCGTTTACTCCGTAATTAATGGAAGTTTTTTTTTTTTTACCTGACCTACATAATAAAAAGATAATTAAAATTTTTTGTTAGATATTTTGAGAATTCTCATTTATCTCCTTCATCTAATGATAAAATTATCATTAAAAAGAAATGAGGTATAAATTGACATTACTTATTATATCACATTAGTCATGACTTGGATTCTTAATAATTTTAATAAACTTGTTAAGATATTTTTTGTCCTTCATTAATCTGATTTCTGTCAAAATTTATTAGACAATAACTCATTTAACGAATAAGTTTACTTCAAACAATGGTAGAAAGAAATTGGAATTTCGTAAAAATTAGGGCATATATAAAAGAATAAAAATAACATCATAATAAATAGCAAATTTATTTTGAAATTCTGTTGTTAAATACCTGACAAATTAAATTTAGAGTTTTTAGAGTTTTAAATAATCATAGTATACAGACCAAATATTTTATAAAAAATTTTAAAATAAAGAATAAGATGGCAACGGTTTTATTACAAACAACTGGTGATCCTCATTTCAAAAAATGGTATGAATTCCAATGAGAAAATATGAGAAAAAAGAAAAAATCGAAATATAAAATTGAAACTATTAAAAATAAAATTTGATATAAATGCAATATTAAATTAAGAACACATGAGATTAAGATACAAATTAAGATTTTTTTTATTAAAAACATTAATTACTGCAATAAGCTGCCGAATGACGCAGTTTCTGCATCCTTCCCTATTTTAAAAAAAAAATTGAGTAATATAGTAATATCAGCCGTGATAGTATTTAAATGCTTTATGTTACGCAGGAAGTCTTGATATGCATATCATTCTATAATCTGTCACTAAAATATTTAGCTTGATTTACTTGGTCTATTTTGTAATTCCCCTTTATTTATATTATTTCTCTTTACATTGTTAATTTGGCAATCATTGTTTCATTTGATACTTTGTCGTATTGTTATTAATGCAAGCACATGGCACCGCTCTGCTTGGTTGCATAAATAAATAACTAAATGAAAACGTACGAGGATTGAAGAAAAGCGTCAATTTGTACAACACTAAATGATTTTCTGAAAGCTTTTGACGTTGGATTAAACGATAAACACCATCAATGAGAAGAGCATTTATAAAAACTTGCTTTTGACTACTGAAAATTTTTTTTCGTTAAGAGCAATAAAATGAATGAAAATAAAAAATGAAAAATCAAGCAGAAATAATAAGTTTTTAAATCATTTGATTGATTTGAACTAATTTGAACTGACTTTTCTTAAAAATTTTCGAGCAAAATTTGATGATTCATCACTTATCTCTGAAATAAGAAAAAGAGTTTAATTTCTCAAAAAGAAGCAAAATTTGTTTTCTTACCTGGTTGGCAGTTCCGATCTGTCTTCTCTTTCAAGATATCGTCCATCTGGGTACCATAAACGATCAGTTGAAAATTTTTTCTCTATTGAAGGTACTTGGTCGACTTCATTTGAATATAATGGCGATCCTGTAAAACTCTATCTGATAGTATACAAAGTACATAAAAATAAAAATGAATGAAAAAGAATTATGTAATTCATTAATTCATTAAAGATATAATTTATAAATCATTATTGATAACATTATTCAATAACATCGTTTGAATCTCGACAGATTCTAGTTATAGGATTGTTCTCTTCACTTTATTAATACCACGACCATAAGCTTAGGCTTAGGCTAATTTTACCCATATAATATACTTTGCAATGTTTGAAGTGTCGATGAATCGATTGTGTTAACTGAATTTCTTGACATATTTTGCATTTCACATGTATAAGAGAAATAAACCAGCTGTATTAGAGGAAAGATCGGCGCAAAAGCTTTAATTAATGCCAGCTGAAAGTTTTAACAAAAAGATATCAAAATTTTTGAGATAAATATTGGTAAATATAGTTGTAATCTGATCAATTTTGGCATTGCTAGAGAAATGCACTATCCAGCATATAAACGCTTTGCACAAGCGAAAAATCGAATAATACCTTGTCATTAAGCAATAATTGACCCATCTGTGGAAGACACTTGGCCCATTCAATCATAAGTGTGAGATCTTTTATGAACCATTCACGCATATTTTCTCTGTCGCACGGAACTGGATTAATCAAAGGCGACTAAAAAACGAACTTCATCAAGACATATAGAAACGTTGCATCGTTGCATCAGATCTATTTTCTCAAAAACTGCTTCGCAAACTTTTATGTTGGATTGAGAATCTAATTTTTTTCATGAAAATTTTTTCGTAGATTTAAATTACCAAAGGAGAAGGGACCGAATGTGTTGCCATCCAAATTTCATCCTCTAATAGCCGACGATCATACATGCAAGAAGCCACTGATGTATGAACTGCAAATTTGTTAACCTCACGAACTATATTTATCTTACGCTCCAAATTAAGCAGTACATTCAGCGCATTTGACATTTCTACCTGCAATTTATTTATTTGACTACAAAGCAAGCAGGGCATAAAGCTATGTGTAGGATTAAAAAAAATTCAAAGGAATATAAATGAAAAAAAACAAAATAGCAAAGTGAAAAAGGAAAAAAAAAATTATTAATATTAATATTGGACAGAAGATACAATTTTTTTCATAAGATATTGCCTTTTAAAATTGGAGATAAATCGGGCAAGAGCTAAGTTAACTTGTTCCATTAAGTTAAAACTTCTAACGAAAAACTGGACATTTGCTCTATAAACACCATTAGAATTCAAACTGAATATAATAATTAGCATATTTTAGATTTATATGATAATTTATACCGAATAAAATCTTGTAAACAGAAATAAGATATTGTTTATTCCTTCTAATTCTTACTAGTTCGACTTAAACAAGAGGTTAAGAGATGTTAAGCAAAGTACTTCGTAATCCCTTGATAATTAATTTGCTAAATTTAAGCGAGGAACATAATGTATTATATTCTAAATGTGGAATGACCAAAATTTTTTCATTTATTTCAAAAAATTTGAAATCAGATAGTAGAACAAAACTAAAACTAAAAAAAATGGCATAAAATATTTAATTGTAAATAACCAGTTAATAAGCGACAGACCATAAAATTCATCTTACAGTTATTCATTTGTATGGATTAAGAATTTTATGAGCTGCAGTGCAATCTTTCCCCATCAAATAAAATTACTTGAATTTCTTGAACATCATGTTCATTTAATAAACCATTGCTTCCAGGCGCCTGACCAACTGAACTTGACGATGGACTACACATCGCATTGATTTCATCAGTAGTGCTTAAAATAGTTGGTGGCAAGGATAATAAAATGATATACTATTTATATTTAATTATAATTTATTAAATAAATATTATAATTTATTAAATATTTAAAAAAAGGATAAACAATAAACAGTCAAAAGTTTTGATTTCACTTTGAATTTTGCCAGAAATAATTCACAGTTTATGATTATAATATATTTAATGAAAAATTAAAATAAAGTGATAAGTGATTACTTGTTGCTTATTGGACTGTATTCAATCTCTTCTTTCACGAACGATTTGTTATTAATGAAATCGACGATTTCCATCGTTTGTTCGTCTTTAATTTTCTTATTCCTCTTCGTGTAACGAATTTTGTCGCGGTCATGTTGAATAGCTAAATTTTGCTCATTAGCTTCTACATGTAACCTTCTTTCTTAACCTCCTTAACCTTCTTCCATTTAATCTTGATTGGTCAAATGGAAGAATCGGTCAAATGCTTGCTTATTCTGCAATAAAAAATATTTTACTACGTAAACAATATTATTAGTACTCAAAATTAATTAATGAGCCAATTAAAGAAAATTAAATTCACTAAATATATTCAGCATCATCAAAATATTATAAAATAATCTCAAAATACCTTTTCATATATCTACAAATCTACGAAAATTTAGAATATTTAAAAGAAAAATTTGCGTCATTTCCAAAAATCGAAAAAAAATTTTGAACGCAATGAACACAAATTTTCTTTCTCAACTGTTGTAATTTACTTTAAAATTGTTGTAATCAAAGTAAAATTTTTTCTGTGACGGTGATTTTCACTGGATTTTTTTACCATTATAAAGAATCAGAAAGAATAATGGAATCATTCATTAAATTTAAATATAAATATAAAAAGGAGAGAAAAAAACCTTTAGGATCCATACCCATTTGAAAGCATTTCTTAAGACGACAACTGCGACAACCGCATCGAACAGCTGAAAAATATGAAAAGAAAAATTTAATGCCATTTGGACTGGAAAAAACTTTCTGAATTTAGTATAAATAAAAAATGTTCAATAAACAAATAAATTAAAAATTCTTTCACTCCAACTTTCTTTCTTGAATAATTTTGCCAAGAAAAAAGAACTTTTGAAAGTATTAATAAGAAAAAAAATAAGGCGAGAATAAATCTCATAAGAATTTTTATGAATTTAAAATAATCCAACATTTAACTAACATTTATCGACGATACAATCATCGGAAAATTGACAGTGAAATGCTTGCTTATTCTGCAATAAATAAAAAAATATTTTATTACGTAAACAACATTATTAGTACTCATAATTAATTAATGAGCCAATAAAAGAAAATTAAGTTCACTAAATATTTTCAAAATTTTTGAAAAAAAATTTTTTAAGAAAAAATTTAATATATTATTAAAAATCAAATTTAATTAAATTTAATTTAATGAAAATATTTAATATATTTGATATCTTAAAATAAAAAATTTTAATACATTAATATTAACAAAATTTAATTTTAATATTTAATTTTAATATAAAACAGTTAATAAGATAAATTTCCAAATAAATTTAAACAGTGATAAATCGAAAATTAATTTTATTTTGGTCCCATTTAAATTTAAATAAATTTAAATAAATCCATTCAAATAAATTTTATTTGTTATAATGAAACTTCTCTAAATGCATTTGAGAATAAGTTTATAAACAATTTAATAAGACATTTGTATTTTCATAACCAATTGACTGCAGAATAGCAATATTTCTTATTTTATGCATAGAAAAGCGATTTAAAAAAAAAGGACTTACAACGAGCGCTCGCCTGAAAAAAGTTTTACATCCGTTACAACTTGCTACTGAATAATGAATACCGCTTGCCAAATCAGAACAAACAACACATAAAGTACCTTCCGGAATCTTTTCGCGCCCTAAAAAGTACCATTAAAATTAATTCGACTGACCAACTCAAATTATACTGAAATAGTAAGAAAATATTCTTAAACACCTTCGCTTTTCCGGCCAAAAAAACTCATCAACGGATCGCAGCGTACTTAAAAAACAACAAAAATCGAGTTGAGATCATGAAACCTATTTATATAAATATATATGTTGTCCAAAGTGCATCAATTATCTTAAGAAAGCGCAATTTTTGCCTTTCAAAACATAGCCTATCAAATAAACGTGCAGGAATGCGTCGTTCAATGCTCGTAATTATCATAAAGTAGGCATGAGCAGACATCTGTCTACCAAAGATCGCGCAGCTATCTGTCTTTCACTCAAATTTAAGAATCCTTTGAAGTTTCCACTTATCATACGAGAAGCACGGTTATCTGAAACTCCTTCAAAAACCACTGTGACTATTAGAGACCTATCGCCGAGAACGAGTTGGGGCCTCCCTTGTCTTTAATGGCACGTTTAGTGCCAAGTAAATACTGCTGGCTCCTCAGTTTGCCACATTTGTCATATAAAAGATAAATAAAAAACTTACGATTGTTCGGCATTTTTCTTTCCCCTTTCGTTCGTTTTTTTCAAACTTTTCACGAGGAAAAAGTCTTTTTGTAGGATGTGAGAATTTTATTTTCGAATATGTCGTTCCATTCGGTGGAATAAAAATTGCAAATAGACGCTTATTTTAAAGGAAAAAAAAGGAAAAATGAGATTAATCGTCACAAGCTGAACGCGATTTTCCTTTTTTAATGAGAACCAACGAAAAATCTCAACATTTAGCGTTTCGTTCTCTTTGCCAATTGCGAATTAGGAACTTTCTTGTTACGCTGAACGAACAGAATTAGCTTGAATTTATCGAAGATAACAATCGCGTAAAAGACGAACTCGCTTCTCCTCGATTTTCAAATTTTCTTTGATGTTAGCAACCGCGTAAAAAAAGATTCGCATAAAACAACTTCTAATTTGTCAATCGTCGCAATTTATTAAAATTAATTAATAGTAAGGGACAATAGGAAAAACGACGCACAACTGCTAGCACAATGAAAAAAAAAGGCCGAACGAAACCCGAACAAACGACGAAGTAGTCACTCCGATACTCCTTCATCCATTCCTTTCTCTCTGCACCCCCGAAGCTTTCGTCGATGTTCAGTACTATTTCATCCCGATCTCTTTTTCTTTTTCTCTCATTCCAAATATTTTTAAACTTCGTAAACAAGAAAAGTGCAAAAAGACCCGATACGCTAACAGCACTTGATACGCTAATCATTTAAATGACTTGGCTCCTCTAACTCGTATGGAGATGGCTATTTGACGAGTTGCGCCCCGCGGGGAGTTCTCCGCAAGATGGCGAAGGGGTCGCGTGGGGCGGGGACGCTGTTTTTTTCTTTTTTATTGTTAAATAGCATTGTGAAAAATTTGAAATGAAAAGGACGAATGTAATGAAGTGAAAATATATTTTAGTCCCAAAAATTTTAAATACTTTCTGGCTTTTTGCATTTTTGCATTGCCTTATTTTGACTTTTAATTTTTCTCCCATTTTTATTTATTTTTTATTTTATTTTTTTGATTTGTTGAGAATAAAATTTTTGAATTAATTAACGAAGTTTAAAAAATTTAAATTATTCTAATTTTTGTTTATTTCGTTTTATTTAAATCTTTTCAAAGTAGAATTCATTATAGTTTAAATATTTAACTGCTAAACTATTATCGAGAAAAAGGATTTATTGTTTTGCTTCGTGAAAAATTATTTATCTAATGAAATGTGTTAATGAAATTAACGCTTACGAATGTGTGAAACTGAAAAATATCCCCTCTTGGTCACCCTCCTCTGACCCCGTCAAATTCTCTTTCATTAGCTGCCCAAGCTCTTTTAATTTCTTAAAATCTCTCAGTTTCCATTATAATCCACTGATGAATATTCTTTTAAGCTTTGGGGTTAAAATTTTATGTAAAAATTTGCTGGCGTGCTGTTTTTCTAATTTTGCGAAAGCATATTCACACTTTTTTCCCTAATTTAATTACATATTTTATTTTTAGAAGGAGCGATGAAGTGTGGCAGAAATTACGAGTGGGTTATCAAGATACACAAATGTTTGAAGAAGATTCTGACTCTCTTTAGATTTTTTTTATTTGTAGGAATTCATTAGCCATCTGTGTTTTTATATCTCCCCTCTCAGATTTAATTCTACACTAATTTAAAAAAAAAGGCCAAATAAAGATTGGTTCCATAAAAAAAACGTAACGAATGAGCGCGAAAACGTATCATTTCGGTTATGGGATATTTGTCAAAAAGAAGTCGATGAATAGGTTTTTTTATTTTTAAAATATAAGCTAGTGCAAGTTCTCTTTAATTTAAATTCTAAATTTAAATTTTTAAATTTTTTTCAAACGAAAGTTAAAATAAATCAATTGAATTATATAATAATTAATTTGGATCATATAAATTAAAATTAAATTAAAATTATATTAATTATATTATATATATATATTAAACAAATTTAATTATAAATTAAACAAATTTTTTGTTTTCTAGTTTATTTTTCAGCCTTAATTTTTTTTTATTGCCTTTGTCTTTGCCACGAGTATACTTACCATGATAGCAAAAATTCAGGTGATTGCTGAGGACCCAGCTATAACTATATTTCCAAATGATTGTGCTGAAAGGGTCAGATGTTCTTGATACGGCGTCCGCGTCCTCTGACGCGCATGATATTCCGAGCTCGGTAGTACGACAAGTATGCAATCCAGGCGTTATCAAACGGCCGCAGAAAGCGTAAGGATATGGTTCTTCTTCGAGAGCCACGATAACTCGAAGCCTGCCAAGGAAAACGACTCTAAGCATATATACATATCGACAAGGTATTGGCCGTAGCAGCAAGGAGCGTCAGAAGCGTCAGTGCTTATGGACGTCGCAAGCATGATAATCGTTATACCATTTCTTTCCGAGTTATTCGAACACAGTGGTATACTAGTACCTCTTCTACGAGCTAGGATTAGTAATTATTCGAGTGAACTGAGAAAGAAACAGGTGATGTCCACACGATATTCAGAAAAAGTGTGGATAACTTATGCTCGCTTCAAAGGAAAGTTCTGCAATATTTCGGTCATCACTGCTCCAACTTTAAGCGCAGATAACTGCAATAGGAATAAGAATAAGTTCTATGCGGAACTTCAATTTCTAATAAAATGACATGGTCATAATCAGAGAAGACTGGAATGCACGCCACGATGTCAGCATGGTAAACTTGGTAACTGTAAACTGGCAAATATGGCATCGCAGTCCAATGCGCCATTGGATAACGCCTTCGCTTTGCCGAAAACCTCTTTGTCACTAAAATTTACTTTCGACATCCGAGAAAATATCTAGTCATGTGGAAATGATAACAAACTCTCCGGATAACTAAATTTCCAACCAGATTGATTTGTGTCAGTCGCCGTTGGAAGAATTCTAGATAATCATTATAGACAATCGTTCTTATCGGGCATTGAAACTGGTAGTCTTCATGGATCAGACCATGTTATGGTTCGAGCTAAGATTCGTATAAAACCGAACTTGCAAGAAACAGTGATGATTCAACCATGTCTCAAACTAAAAATTCGGGGGTAGTGCATTTCAAAACCAAATTATTAAAACACTTCATTGATTTAACATCAGTGGCATCTCTCGAACGGCAGATGAATATTGGTCCTAACTAAAGGAATGCTTCCGAAAATAAGCCATTTTCATACTGGAATGTGCTAGTGGGAAATACGCTAGTTGGGCATCGGAAGGAACTGTCCAGTTGTCTGACAATGCGCGATTGTCGAGGTAATGACTACCGGATGTTTCGAATAATTGCAAAAACAGGTATAAAATAGTACGGTGAATAGAAATCGGTGCTTCACCGAGATACCTTTGAGAATGGAGATGGTGGCTTGTTTAGGCAGTAATAAGAAACTATTCCACCTTCTTCACAATTATAACTCGGAGAAGAATCAGCAAAATGGTACGGTATAGCAATGGTATACCTGTTAAGAGTATTAAGAATTATTCTCATAAGGTGAAAGGAAGCCAAACTTCTTTGAAGCCAAACTTAACCGCAATGCGCCATCAGTTATCCCGGATCATATATTTGCGAACAGCAAATAGAAGAGGAAATCAACTCTATCATTCACAAATTTAAGGCCAACAAAATGTCCATCGTTTATATTATTATGACTTCAACAAATGTATTCTCTGGTATGGAAGAATGAAATAATACCAGATAATTGGAGAACAATTCAATTTCTGCTTCCAATTCCTAAGATGACAGGACATATCAGGAAAACCGAAAAAATCACAAAATCACAAAATCACAAAATTCACAAAATTTCACAAAACACAAAATCACATAATTTTACAAAATTTGGTAAATTTGATATTCATGCTTATTAATTATTATTATTATTATTCCTCATAATTATTCCTTTGAATAATAATCGTTTTCCCATGTTTAAAATTATGTTTTTCTTTTATATTTTATCTCCGAACATTGGCATTCTTTATGTAAATTCTCAGCCGTGAGAATATTGTCAATTTGTAAAGGTCGCTTAATTATAAACAAAATTTCTTTACACATTCCTTATGTAAAGGTAAGGAATGATTATTGTCATTGTTCACAATACGTTTTTCACATACGTCCTTTTTTTTAATTTTTTATAATAATTAACAATTATTTTGCACGTCGTTCTATTATATTGGTATTTAATATTATAATTTAGTAATAAAACTTATAACTAGTTGTACATTCCAAGTTTAATTTCTTGAAACCTTCGGCGAATACGTAAGTCACTTTTTTCAAAAATCTTAATTTTTTTCTTTCTGAATTAACAAAACCTTTTACAATAGGACATATTGTGATAAGGAATTAGCCTTCTTGACATCTCTAGGAATCTTCCCCTCTGCTGAATAAAACTTATATAGTACGGCAGCATATGCCCTAACCAAGCTGGATTCACAGTTGTATTGACCAGATATTCACGCTAAGTAGGATGGAACACTGGAACATCAGCAAATCACATGTTTTATCGATTTTGCAGTTGCCTTCAATTCAGTTGATAAAGTAGCGCTTTGGAGAGTGATGGAATATGACGGTCCGAGAAAAGATTATTCTGGATAATGGGCATGGGCCACACTTAAGAGATGTGCAAATCAGTCCAAAGCATAGCATCTGCTCGATTAGGCGAAAATTTTTCCGCCTTTTTCATAAAACAACTGGGGGAATGATCAATGAGATGATGCGGATAGTATTGGTGTGTTTATTATGCTATCAA